TGGCCGAGACCTTGGTGTACTGTGCCGAGGCCTCGAGTGGGCGGTTGATCGTGGGTGCAGTGTAGGGACACAAGTGGCGGTAATTTCCGTCGTATTCTGTCCCAACCGGTATGGCGCAGATCGTGGATCAAAGATGTTAGGACACATGGCGGTAATCCCGGCCAGACACCTGTCTCAAAATGTAGAGGATACTGATGCGACCTTGGTCGCGTCGGCGGCCATTCTCAGGGCGTTGAGAGCCGTCGTCCGGTGAGATTGCGGGAGTGGTTGAAGCATTAATGGGACATGACACGTTGTCCGGAGGGTCGGTCGAGGCGGGGGTGACGGGCTACGGGCGACCCGGCCTCGAGCGACACGGAGAATGAGGCCTCGCGCGAGACGGAGATCAGGTTACTTGCCGAGGCCTTGCGCGAGACGCCTCGCGCGATACGGAGAATGTACCCCTGCCGAGGCCTTCCCTGGAGAGCCTCGGGCGAGACGGAGACGGCGCCCCCTGCCGAGGCTCGGCGCCCCCTGCCGAGGCCTACCACTGGGAGCCTCATGAGGCGGAGTTTGTTCCGAGACCTCCTGCTCGATGCTCGAGGCGAGGTGGAGGAGGGCTCGGTCGTGGCCGGTGAGGGGCCCACGGCTTACCTTCTAGCTTTATTTTGATGTTTGCTTGGGGTACCCCGTTCTAAAGTACCCGACAATTCGAAACAGTATTTTTCTCTCATAAATTCTTTCAAACCATTTAAATTCCTCAAGAAGCATACCATCCGAACGGGGTCATTCATTCTCAGCCAGCCGGCCGGGGAGATGGACAGCGGGAGGTAATGATTTTATTAAAGGGCTGGGTGAATGCTAGCTCCGCCCCACTGTGTTTGTCTCTCTGCCTTCCACTCTGGTCTCTGGATCAGATCAGGCAAAATCACATTGACGACAAGTCACCAGCAAGGCTGTGTCTAATCCACAGAATAAGAATATTTCAAGTAAATCTATCTATTCTTGGCGGGCAGCTGCACTGCACTGCATGGTACGTAACGTACAGAGGAGGCAGGCACTCCGATCCCGCGGTTCGCGGTCGTCCTCCGGTTGAACACACGCCGTGCCAGGCTGCCCGGGCCTAGCTAGCTTGTCCACGGCCGTACGTGCCGGACCCTTCCTTCCCTTGGCAACACGGATCGGCCGGACCCACGGGACGCGCGCGCGCGATAGACGATGGCCGTGGCCACGGTCCGGCGGCGGCGTTGCTTCCTCCTCGTGCTGGGAACGACCATTGCCATTGCCGCCTCGTTATTCGGCGCGGCGTCCGGCGCCGCGCTGGTGGGCGATTCGTGCAAGGCGTCGTCCACCTCGGACGGCGGCGGCTGCGGCAAGGGGCTGCGCTGCACCACCTGCGTGCCACCGCCGGGGACGGGACCCGCCGCGTGCGCGCGGACCACGCCCATCGACCCCAAGACGCACGTACGTTGTTGTTACTGTTGTCCTGTCGTCTCGTCGATCCTTTCTTGCATTGTCGTGTATGCATATATATCATCCATGCACCGTGCATGCAGGGCACGGGTCTCCCCTTCAACAGGTACTCGTGGCTGACGACGCACAACTCGTTCGCGGTGGTGGGCACCAAGTCGCCGCTGGGGTCCGCCATCATCTCGCCGCCCAACCAGGAGGACTCGGTGAGCGAGCAGCTCAAGAACGGCGTGCGGGGCCTCATGCTGGACGCCTACGACTTCAACGACGCCGTCTGGTTCTGCCACTCCTTCCACGGGCGGTGCCTGCCATTCACCGCCTACGTGCCCGCGCTGAGCGTCCTCACGGAGGTCCGGGTGTTCCTCGAGGCCAACCCGTCCGAGGTGGTCACCGTGTTTCTGGAGGACTACGCCGCGCCGGGGTCCCTCAGCAACGCCTTCAACGCCGCCGGACTGTCCAAGTACTGGTTCCCCGAGTCCCTGATGCCCAGCCCCAGCAAGGGCGGCGGTGGTGACTGGCCGCTGCTCAAGGACATGATCGCCGACAACCACCGACTCATCGTGTTCACGTCCAAGAAAGGGAAGCAGGGGACGGAGGGCCTCGCGTACGAGTGGGACTACGTCGTGGAAACCCAATGTACGTATAACGTATATCAGTCGTCGTCGTCGTCGTCGTCGTCTTGTTTAGATTTGTTGGGACTCCATCTCCATGCATGCATACAATCCAACAAGCAGATGGGAGCGAGGGCATGTCGGATGGCGGGTGCCCGAAGCGGTCCGAGTCTCGGCCCATAGACTCCAAGGCCCAGTCGCTGGTGCTGCTCAACTTCTTCACCAGCAACCCGAGCCAGAGCTGGGCCTGCAGCAACAACTCCGCGCCGCTCATCAGCAGGCTCAACGCCTGCTACCAGGCATCCGGCAACCGATGGCCCAACTACATCGCCGTCGATTTCTACATGGTACTGTATGTTGATTGGTATATGTATATGTATATGTATACATTGACCACGAGTAACGGCGTGCCTGAATGATATGATGAAATGCACAGAGGAGCAACGGCGGCGGCGCTCCCCTGGCCACCGACGTCGCCAACGGCCGCCTCCAGTGTGGCCGCGACAGCATCACCTACTGCAAGCCGTCTTCTGCTCCGGCACCCGCATCGGCTTCTTCACCGTCTCCTGCCCCCGCCGCTTCTCCGTCGTCTCCTGGGCCGGCACCTGGGCCTGCTAATAGCTACTACTCTACTACTGGTTAAGAGGTGGCCTCAGGTTGGACCTGGCCTGAAAATATCCATGAGAGAGGCCTATCTAGTGCTCACTGCTCACTGATGAATATTCTTAGATCCAGGATCAAATTAATTTCATTGAAAAACAAATAGCATTGTCAAGGTTTTTTTTTTGTGTACATATGTAAGCGTGATGGCACACCAAGCATATATAAGGGAGGTTTGCCATAAGAGTGATGGTGCAGAGCTTAATTTAATATATTGCCCTCCATTATCTATCTCTTCCTGTGATGTTCCAGGGGCGGCTTAATATAATGTCCCATCGAGTGCACGTCTGCATTGTCTATACTTAAGCTTTGAAAATAAGCCATATGCACGTACGCAAGCTTTCAAAATAAATTCAAGCAGTTCATCTTTCAGACACTGACAGCCTGTTCGGAAGGCCGTAAACGATCGTGGATTATTTACTGCTGGCTGGTTTTGTGTGAGAGAAAAACACTGTTCCTGGCTGGAAATTTACGATCGTTTACGAGCAATATAATTAATAATGGATATATGCAGTTGGAACAACATGCATTGCCATGCTCTGGTCTCTGGTCTGCGGTCTGCGAGATACAACACACAGTAGGATGTATATATAACATGCAAGAGTAACATTCGGTCAATCTATTCGAATTCAAATTCAAATGCATGGGTACACACGTGACCTGACGTGACGTTACGTTGTGCTGCGGCTAGGGTTTTGATTTCTTCCGGATCGGAAGAGCTGATGAGGTGCTGACGTGCCGTGGTTAGCGTAGTACCTAGGAGTATTTCATTCGCACCTCATATCCAAGGGCTCGAGATTTCAGTTTCGTCTTTTTTCAGTCCTACCGATCGTAGCTCTTATGTATGTTAAGATTGTACTCGTGCATTGCAATGGGAATAAAATAGTGTCTCGGACATCCTCCACTTCTCTTTATTCTTCTCATAGTACAAGATATGCCAGCATTCGTGCTAGTAATTTTTGAAGCTTTTCTTGTCTGTTTATACAAAAAAGGTAAGGCATTTGTATAAATAGGTTATGCATTTTCTTGACTAATTATAGCTTAAATATTGCAATTTATGATGTCTTTAGACGTAGTAATCAGGGAGAAGTTCGAGTTATTCATTTATGCAGCAACATTTGTCACACAGCTGAGCAGTAAAAATATAAGAACCAATTAACCAACAAATCAAAAAAAAATTACTTGAGAAAATCTAGTAGACCGCTCTCGTCGTCGAAGGTGACAGTGATATGGTGACAGTATATGTACCATCCCTAGTTGATGTAGCATATGCATAGCTTTGTCGGTCCACGAGCTAGCTAGCCGAGAAACGCGCTGTATGCACATGCCTGGATGATATGCATGCACCAAGTAAAGTTTCCAACAAGCATATACATTTGCGCTAGACAGATAGTGGCCATTTTACTATGGTTACTCTCCTCTGTTTGGCACTCCACCCCTTTATGGTGTTGCATACTTTATTTACCGCAATGCAGGGACCATGTATGCATGAGAGGGAAAGAGACACAATTATAAAGCAATAGTTTTTTTTAATACACAATCGAGACTTTTGGCTCTATATAATACCACATATTGAGTTATTAACTAGATAAACTGGCCAATGCAAGCTCATCAAAATGCTAAGTTGATAAAAAAAGTAGGCAATCCATTTACACCTCAGCATACTTGAGTTGTCGCAACAACCACATCGATGCTTTAGTCTTCTCTTGGAGATGCTCTTATCCACGAAAAGTAAGCAACCTAAGGCATGCATGAGTATGTATATGTACCATCCCTCCATCTCAAAATATAAGGGTTTACGATATTTTTAAGACAGATTAAGAATGGAACTCAACTACTTGATCACCAAGGTTGTGGCGTGACACAGTTAATGCCGGTCGATTTAATTACTTCTGGTTTAGAAAAGAATACAATGTAATTTTAGGTATAAATCTGAACAAACACTTGCCCAGCTTATAATTATACCTTTTTTTTACGAAGGGAGTATTTAGTGAAAACCATGGCTCAGTCTTCGATCAAGCATGAAGTTTAAGATGACATATTTAATACACATGGTTATTTAGCCAATAGTTGCCCGTCAAACAAACATCAAGATCAAGGACCAAATTTAAACGCCCAAAGTCTTTATATTTTGAAACGGTGCAACTAACTAGGAGGCAAAAGAAAAATCTAGCAGTGGTCTGGTGGTCGGCATGAGCTGGCTATAAAAAAGGAGCTGCTCGACGCGAGGAAGGCACACTCTTGGAGTAGCAGCATAGCCTAGCCTAGTAGTAGAAGACGATGGCGGCAAGAAGGGTGTGTAGTGCGGTCCTGGCCATTGGCCTGCTGCTGGCCGCCGCCGTCGCCGCAGTGCCGCCTCATCTTCAGCTGGTGACTGACACTGACGGTGGTTTGTCGCTGGACTTCCACGCGGCGTCGTGCCCGCAGCTGGAGGGCATCGTGCGCGCCGCCGTGCAGGCCGAGCGAGGCCAGGACGTCCAAGTCACGGCCGGCCTCCTCCGCATCTTCTTCCATGACTGCCTCCCCCAGGTTCATACATACCCCTCTTCATATAGCTTCCGTTATACAAACTTACAAAGGAAAAACGCTTCTGTATATGCATGTATGTAACGAATACAAATAAAACTAGGGGTGCGACGCTTCCATCCTTCTGGACGGCGAGAAGTCCTTTGGTCCCAACGCTTCGCTACAGCCACGGGCGCTGCAGCTCATCGAGAGCATCCGCGCCAAGGTGCACGCCGTGTGCGGCGCCACCGTCTCCTGCGCCGACATCATCGCGCTCGCCACCCGCGACGCCGTCAGCCTGGCCGGAGGTCCGTCCATCGCGATGCCCCAGGGCCGCACCGACAGCCTCAGGCCGGCCACGAACGCCGAGGTAAACACCTCCCGTCGCCCTTCTCCGACGTGAGCACGCTCCTCGGCACCTTCAGCCGCAGGGGGCTCGCCGACCCCGCCGACCTCGTCGCGCTCTCCGGCGGCCACACCGTGGGGAAGGCCAGCTGCAGCTTCATCAGAGGGAACGACGACTTCTCCCGGAGGCTCGCCGCCAACTGCTCCGCCGGCCGCACCGGGAAGCAGAGCCTGGACGTGATCACGCCCGACGCCTTCGACAACAGGTACTTCGTCGCGCTGAGGAGCACCCAGGGGGTGCTGCTCTCCGACCAGGGCCTCGCCGGCGACCAGCGCACGGCCCGCTTCGTCGCCGCCTTCGCCAGCAACCAGGGCGCCTTCTTCGACCAGTTCGCCAAGTCCATGGTCAAGCTGGGCAGCATCAAGGCAGCCGCCGCCGGCGAGATACGCCGCAACTGCTTCAGGCCCAACGGCCGCGTCAGCCTCGACGACGTCAGCGCTCTCATCGGCGACGATGCCGCCGCTGTCGCTAGCGACGAGGGCTTTGCAGCCTCCGCTTGATGATAAGACATCATGCATGATCTCGCATGCATGCTACTATGTACGTGTAACGCGTTAATTGATTATGGATCGCACCTATACACCTTAGTAGGTGTACGTACTACGTTCTTATTTCATGCTAAGTTTGCTTTGAGTGAGCCATCAGTGAGGTAGGAGGTAGGTAGCTTGAATCGATCGATGGATGGACGAGATCGGTAGTGTAATAATGCCCTGCCAGTACGTGCATTGTTAGCACGCGGCAGGTTGTAGTATGTACTCCAATATGCATATGTGTTTTATTAACGCTAGTAGTTTGATGAATCATCATGTGAGAAATGCATGCCCATCAGCCAGACCAGATATGCATCACGTTATTATAAGCTTGTCCCTCGTTCGAGTGTTTTTCTTTTCTTTGTTTGTTTATTACTAGATAGAGTAGAGAGGTGTGTGGCGGCTTTAATCAGCTAATTAATTTGGCCCCTAAAACGGAACATTACAAACGCTGTACCCGTGCTAGCTAGCTAGCCTGTTATTGCACTCAGAAACAAGCGTTAAGTACGAAAAGAACTCCGATCCATATCCACAAACAGATCGAGAGTAAAGAAATGAGTTTGTGGCGGGACCAGAACGTGTAACCAGCAGCAAGCAGCCCAAATGGCGTCAGTTTTTTAAGCTAATAAAGGTAAGCTTATCACTAACGGCATCATTTCATTTTGATCAGCTCGCATATATAACTATTCATAAGAAATTAAATGTGAAAAGCGACTCGAGCAACAACGCCCGCAATGGCACGTTTTTTTTTTTTTTTGAAACTAAGAAGTTGAAACGCTAGCTGATGAGAGCGAGGGAGGGTCAATGAATTGCATTGGCCAGAGACAACATCAAGTGCCTACGTGCGCGATGCATAGGAAAATGAAAACCTTACCAGCAATAACATACGCAACAAGTGGCAAGCAGTTTCGTATACTAGACTACACTGCACAATATAATGGAGCACATGCAGTGAATTTGTTAATTATTATCCGGGCAGTGGGCAGTGGGCAGTGGCAGACATCATATATATCGAGGTTGGCTTGGGCACTGGGGCTCATGCATGCACCCGGACCCGGCCTCCTCCGGTCGTGCTGCAGCTTGTCGACCGCACGCCGGCGTCTGTATTTTAATTTTAGGCCCTCGCAGACTTCTCCAACGCTTTGGTTTAGGGCACGTTTGGTTCACATCTTCTAATAAAGTTTTGTCACCTAAACCAGCTTCTAAAGTTTAGTCACCTTTGTTTGATTTGGTGGACTAAAAAAGACTAAAAAAGGCCTTTTAGTCTCTTTTAATCAGGGTGTTTGATCCAAAGTGACTAAAAGGTGATGCAGCCTGACTAAAAAGTGGGCTTTAGTCCCATTTAGCAACACTTGGGTGACTAGTTGACTAATGCATTTTTTAGTCTCATTTAGTCGTAGTGTTTGGATAAAAGTGACTAAATAGGGCTAAATGTGATTAGCTAGATTTAAAAGTCGAGGAGTGAACCAAACACCCTCTTAGTTCTGATTTCTTGACAAACTCCATGTTCATGAAACGACTCTGTAAGTGAAGTTACATAGAGAAGAAATCGTTTTTTTATAAACACTATTAACGTGTTCATGCGTTTGCTGCAAAGGAGATATAATTTGTTGCCTAGTTTATCTAGATTATTTGGAGCTCAAAATTTATCCAACAAACATGTGGTGCTTAGTCCTCTAAATCGTATATATGAGACGCTTTGACATTTATCTATTGATCGTCTGTGTATTTCAATTTGTCTTGAGATCGGACTCTAAGTAGTGTTTGAGACTACATCATAGGTTTAGATTCACGTTTGACTCAAACTTTGTACCGTACATGTATGTACACTGCTCTAACTCGTTATGTTGTGTTTAGTCTTTATGTTTCTTTTTTTTTGTTGCGTGTTTTCTTTTTTCTTCTTTTTTTCTTTTCCCGTTCCTGTACTCTTGTGTTCAGACCGAGTTCTTAATCATTTCGGCTTCTTAGAAATCTCTTCAATAAAATCCTCATGTGTTCCAACTCGTCTTGAACTCCTCACACGGAGTTAGAAATCTCTTCAATAAAAACCATACCATTGCTAGATGTGTACTGCTCTAACTCCTCATACGGACATTGGAAACATGGACACTCATGTGATCTTTGCATCGGGTGTTTGGATTCATCTTGGGATCGTACTCTGTGGATCGCATCATGCATTTCAGCTCGTTTGGGGATCAGACTTCCCACCGTGTTTGACACGTTGCCCCAACTCATAAACGAGAAAGTGATAGGAAAACACAATATATGGCGTCGGATGCACGATGCGGGATAAGGGGGGGGGGGCGCTAAAACAATGGAGATGTTGATTTGCATGAAGATTTAATGGTGAAATCAAGCTTTTGCTACAGTGATTAGTGGTGAAATCAAGCCATTAGGGGGGCTAGAGCCCCCCCCAGCCCCCCCTTTGGATCCGCCCCTACGTCGCCACTGATGTCGGTCGCCTCCGTTGCCTACGGTTCTCCGACTTTGCTCACCGCAGCTCTTGTGATGCCACCATGCGCGCACGGCATGCTGCATTGCCGCTAATCTTCTCCAACATGCTACACCACGGGGCTGGGGCTTTTATGGTTGGCCAACTTGGTAGTGGAAATCTTTATTTTATATAGGCAAGGAGCAAGGGCTCAAACATACATGATTATTGATTTAGGCCTTTTGTTTTTGAAATTTATAGAAGGAACAGACACAAAAAAAGACCTAGTGCACAGATGAATGGGTGACATGCGGACGCTCCACTCGAACAGACTTAGAAAATGCACGGGAAATGCTTGCACCGACAGTCGGATGGAACACGCTTGGGTGGACGGAAAAAAAATACACTCAAACGGATGAGAAAAAAGAAAAAGAAATAAAGAAATTAAACCAAAACCAAAAATCTTTCCGTGATTTAATATTACAATTCAAATGTACATAGAGCCAAAATTTCTTCCCCCTTGTTTTTATGGTTTGGCCCTTCCCTGACTAACTTTATGAATGTAAAATTTGTCTCTATTATAAGCATGGATATATAGGAATCCTAATTAAATAGATCTCTCCTATTCTAAGCAAGTTGAATATAGAAACAACCCTAATCGAAATAGAAAAGGAATTAACTGGATCCTCTCATAACTTTTCTTACCTTTTTTTTCTTTTTGTTTTCCTTTTTGTTTTTGTTTTCTGTTTTCTTTTCCTTTTTTCTTTTTCTTTTTTGGGTTTTCGTTCGCATCTCCATCATTTTGATTTTGGTTCCTTCTCCTTTACGTTTTTCTCCGTTTTTTCTTCGCTTCTGTTGGTTTGGTTTTCCGTTCTATTTTCTTTTTTGTTTTCTGTTTGCCTTATCATTTGTTTCCCATTCTGTCCCCTACGCGTGCGGTCGGTTTACTGTTAGTTTATGTTTTTTCCCGTCTCCTCTCCCGTTCTAATTTCTTCAGAAATCTACTCGGATTACGATTTGTAGCTATTCAGGTTACCTAAAAAACATATGTCCATATGTTATATATACAATATAAGAGTTGTCGAGAGATGAATCATAATAGTTTTCACATTCACGGAGTTAGTCGGGAAGAGGTGGATGAAAAAAATGGGCTGAAATTTTGTATCTTTATTATTAGGTATAGATATAGATGATGAGTGATGAAGCCATCTAGAACATGACTTTTTTTTACTCTCACGGGGTGGGGGGAGTTTTTCCCACATGGAATTTTATTTGGCCCTCGTGGCCTACAGTAATGTTTACATTTTGAGAAAAATAGAGTTTACATGCCACTCTTGGGCTAGCTTAGCTTCCTAGCGCATCATGGAAGATCGTGCACCATCGATCCGCTACACACTTCTTCTCGGCAGTTTGGCTCTCCATTGCTCCGCTTCTCTCCTACAGGCAAACATCAGCTATTTTTTAATGTCACTGGGGGATTACTCCCCACCTGAATGTATATTGACAAATCGGCTCATTTTATATTTTACAATGTTGAGGAGGAAAAACAACAACAACAAGACGCCCCAGCACCAGGGCGAAGAGTGGTAGAAACCACAAATATAATAGCAAAATGCAAAGACTACCACAATAAGGCAGATGAGCTCTTCGATGATGCCTCCAAGGAGGTGGAATGGCAACAAAACGTAATCATGGTTGGCCAAGCTTGGCAAGGTTTTTACCCGAGCCTTGTGCCAGTGGTAGTTGCACCGTGGGGGGGCTGTCACACATCAAGACGGAGCCGTTTTGCGAACTCGCCGCATAGCGGTGGGAGGCGCGCAACAGCAAGCGTCCGCGCCTGGACGGAGGGGGGGGGGCAGCCGCCACCACACCGCGCGGAGCCGTTCATGGACTCACCCACGATGGTGGGAGGCACTCACCGGCAAGCGTCCATGCCTAGACGGAGAGGGGAGGGTGCCAGCCATCACCACACCGCTCGGAGCTATTCCCGGACTCGCCTGCGTTGGTGGGAGGCACGCACCGGCAAGCGTCCACGC